ACCTGCTCATCCCCACAGGCCCTGCTTCCTGCATCATCACTTTGGGTTAGGACTACAGCGAGTGAGTCTGGGGACACAAATGCTGAGTGCAGCACAGCTCTGAGTGGCCACCTGGGCTGCTCAAGGTCACACCTCATGGGGAGTGCACTAGGGTCTGTGCTGGGGCCATGCCCTGCAGCTGTACCACCACCCTTCAACTTCGGGAGGTGAGCTTGCTGGTACTGGGTGGGCTGGGTGAAGCTGCCTTGGCTGAGCCACTGGTAGCAGCAAGGGCTCTAGCATCCAGCCAGCCAGCGTGTCCTTGATCTGCTGCTTAGAGAACCCAGCCATTCTGCATCATCCCTGTGGTGTGGATTCGTGACCTTGTTGGGGCAAGGGGCTAGGTGGGGGCAGGAACTCTGATAGCCAGTGGGCCCTGCTGCCTTGGGATGGATGCTCTGTCCAAAGCACGCTGGACATCTGGCCAAGCAAGGCACTCAAGTGAGCCTGGGCTGGCAGTGGGAGAGCAGCCAGGGTGCAGATGCTGACAGCCCGTGTGTGGGCAGGTGGCCAGCCACTCTGTTAGCAGGAGCTGGTCTCCATGCACTGAGCTCCACTGCCCAGTCCCAGGGTCTACCCCAGCGGGCCAAGCCACACAAACCCAGGACTGTCATCTAGGGCACGACTGGCTGAAGGCTGCAGACAATCTCAGCTCTCCATCAAAGTGACAGTTCACTCATTGCTGAACCTTGGCAGGTCCCTTGTGTGGGCTGGGCCCCTCACTGAGCTCACTTAGAGGGAGGGGAGCAACTGAAGAAGTGAAAGACAGTCTCAGATGAAAGAGTTCCAGAGCTGCTAGCGAGAATGATGGGGCCAGGGAGGTCCTGCTTCAGCATGGACCCACAGGCAGGACCCCTGAGAAGAGGCAGCACCACCCACTGCGTGGAGAGAGAACACTATTCTGAACAGAGGGAAGAGTCCACGCAAAGGCACTGGGATGAGGGCAGAGGTGATCCTGGAGGAAGCAGTAGGGTTGGCTTTCACAGGCGAGTGTGGCATGGGAGTGTGGTACAGAGAACTCAGCGGCAAGACCTGGCCACAGAGCACATTCACCAGGTCACAGGTAGGGCTCTGTTTGCTTCACATTTTACCTGCAGCAGAACAGGGATGACAGAGAGCTGTGGAGTGGAGTGCCTGTGTGCCATGCATGAAACTGGGCCTGGAAGGACAGGTGGGCTTTAAGGACACAGGCTGCCACGGAGCACTCAGGGCGGGGAGTTCCTGCCAGGGCCTAGAAGCTATAGCTTGAATCTCGCCCTCTCAGATGCTTCAGGCCACCTTCCCTCCCTACTTTGTCACTGGCTATCTCTGCACCCTTAGCAGGCATTGGTAGCTGAGAAATATAAGTCTATTCCCCCATGCATTTAGCTGGTTTGCCAGGGGGTCGGGAGCTTGTTGAGAGCTCTGATCCCTTTCAAAAACCTATAAATTAGATTTCTATTGACTTTAGTCCATAGGCATTAATGTAAGATGTTTAAAAACAATTAATTGCCTTCATATCTTTGTGTGTGTTTGGTACTGCAGTTCGAACTCAGGACCTTGCACTTGCAGATGCCTTCATATCTTAATGCCTTCATATTTTAAATCTTTCCCTCACTTTGCTGCTCCCTAGAAGCTAGATAAGATAGTCCCTCCTCCTCTAATAGCGGAAAATGCCTGGGGTGGGGCGGGGAGGGGGGGGACCTGGGGCTTTTGCCTAGGCAGGCACTTCCTGTGGACCAAATTACAGGATTAAAACAGCAACAGCTCTGACCCAGGTTGAGTGATTGAGAACCTGTCTCTCCTCATTTCCCCAGATTAAGTCTTGTTTCCCAGCTGGTGGAGCACTCCCTTCTGGGCTCTGCCGGCTCATCTGTCTTCCCAGGGTGCTGTGACTGGGTGGGTCTCCTTTTCTCCCAAGAGGAGATGGGGTGGTGAGTGAGGTGAAATGGAAAACTGCTTTGCAGTGTCCATGTGTGCTGCTGTATGTGGAGGTTGGTGGCCCACAGAACTCAGGATGGCCAAATACATGGACAGAAAGAATGTCCTCTGTGTGTCCAAAGAGCATTAAGACCCAGGGCTGCAAGGCAGGAGCTGCTTCCTCCTGCGCCAAACACATTCTGCACTGTGCCTTCCCTGCGGTACTGCTGGTGGCCCCACCTGGACAGCTCCAGGAGGCTGGGCTTCGTCCCCTCTTGCTTCCCTTAAGTTCTGAGTCCTGACCTCCTCAGTTGCCGTTACAGAATGGTGGGTTTCCAGGAAGTAGTCCTGCTCCCTGGCCGGAACATTAAGAGTGTTGCTTCGAAGATTCTCTAGTAAGGGAGCTCTCCAGAGGGCTTTGATTCGGTCTCCTCCCTGAGCAGCCACAGTGGCCCCTGTTTGTCCCAGGCTCAAGGAAACAGTGGCCAAGACAGACACAAGTATGGGGGAGCTATTCAGGGAAGCCAGTGGCCATGGCCCGTTGTGGTGCATTTTCTGGTGGAGAAGGAACACACAGAGGGCTCCGGGGGCAGGGGAGCAGATGGGAACTCTGAGCTGGCCTTTGAAATGGCAGCAGCCAGCGTCTGCTTGCCAGCTTGCCCACCAAGATGTGGGACAGGAGAATCCAGGGAGGGTGCCTGCCCAGAGGAGAGGGCTGGAGAGTGGCTGGGATTGCGAGCTTAGGAGGTGCAGACAGTGCTGGGTGCTGAAAGGACAGCGCCCGGCTTGGCACTCGGCTGCTGCCCAAGCCAGGGAGAGCGCTCTCCCTAGCTGGAGCTGGGCCTTATGTGCATCTGAATTTTTCCACTCTTCCTCTGGAATCCTGTCGATGCAGTCCTGGCAAAGATGGCTTGAGCCTGAAAGCTTTTCCCATCTATTTTTAAATGAAATGGAATTCCTGTTGCTTGCATGAAATTTGCCCTGTCTGGGTGTTTTTATGACCCACTTCTCTGGGGTTTCAGGGCAGGGGTACAGTGGTCACCAGACTGCTGACAAGGCGAGGCCCACAGATGTGCAAGACATGACACTAACCACATAAATGATTAATGAACCAGCTTGCTGAAGGACATCCTAAATGCAGGAAGCAGAGGCTTTCAGCCTTGATGCAGGACCCACTTCTGAGATGCATTGAAACTGCCTGTACAAACACCACCGGGAGAGGAGAGAACAGGGTCACAGCGGCAGATTCACTGCTCCCCCACCAAGCCCCGCTCCAACCCTTGCTGCCCTGAAGAGACTGGCAGCTGTGGATGGCTCCCCACAACCTCAGAGATGGGCCCCACCTTTTCCTGAAAGACAAGAGGGGCAGATTTATATCTCCTACTGTCCTGGACCCCCAGAGGGCAAAACTTCCTCCCCCCTCAGAGCCTGTGCCGCTGCTAAAGTGACTGCAATTCCTTCCCTCCTCCCCTGTGAGCCGACCCTACCTGTGGGTCCCAGTTTGCTCTGACTCCTGAGACCAGATGGCTCCAGCATGGGGCTTTTCCTTAACAGAATGAGAGGTCCTGGCCTTCCACAGTTTGTACATTTGATCACAGTTGCTTTGTTCCTCTGCAGAATGAGAATGAGGGCAAAAGAAGGCGACCCCAAGACGGTCAGCAAGGCCAGGGACCTGTGCAGAGAGGCGGAGCAGTGTCTTCTCTGGGCCTGGGCTGGCACCTCCTCCCCTAGCCCACCGGGGGTGGCATGGCAGGCTCAGAAGGGGCAAGCTCCCTTACTGCTGGTGACCATGACTAAAGGTGGGCATGGAGGAGGGTAGGTGGAAGCTCAGGAGTGTGTCCCAAGTGTCCTGTGCACACATGGCAGGTGCACGCAACTGTGAATGCTACAGTTTACTTCTGACATTCTAGATAATAGATAAATTAGCATTGTGCCCACTGGCCCTTATGTGTTTGGGCTAATTAACCCCCGACAAATAAACCCTCAAACCCGAAACAGGCTCCATCTATGGCCATGAGCTCTGGGAACCAAAGAGCAAACATAGCAAAGGGCTGACCTGGCAGTGGGTTAGTGCCACTTAGGGTTAGGACGGTGCCTGCTGCTCAGGAGGACTTCTTCAGTGGAACACGTGGTCCAGGGTGATGGTGGAAGTATCTGGACAGAATCTGGTGACCCAGGGCAGCAGACTCCTATAGGCCTGCAGAGGGTGGGGGTGGGAGGGCGAGGAGCTGACCCCTGCTTGGAGCCCAAAGGCCTGAGAGATGGGGTTCTTTAGCTTCCTGGCAGGAGGTTCTGGGGGGGTCCCTTTCCCAGAACACCCTCATCCCTGAGGAGGGCGGCATACCTGCCTACTTCTCCCCTGCGGGACTCTCTGCTGTGTCCAGTGCCTGCCCTCTTGGCCAGGATGGTGACACCAGTCTGTGTTGCTTCAGCTCTCTGTCCTGCTACAGGCTCCTTCTGGGTCTGCAGGGCAAAGTTCAGGCCACCTGGGGCTTCTGGGCTCACCTCTCTGACTGCTCTCATCCTTCTTCTTGCCCCGGGAATGCCCCTTCCCCCAGAGGGCCTCCCTTCCAGGATCTTCGTCCAGGCCTCGCCCAGGCTACTTCTTAGGAAGCTTCCCCAGGTCCTCTTTGCACACCCAGAGGAGGGCTGGGGTCCAAATGCCTGGTCCACTCAGATAGCAGTAGAAGATCCCTGAGGGCTGAACCTTAGCCCAGACCTTGGCAAGACCCAGTTCCTTCCTCTCCCGCTGGCCGGTGTCCTTCCCCGGGGCGCAGCTGGCGGGAGTCCAACCCTGTCAGGCTTTGGCGTCCTGGAGCCTGGTCGGGCGCCTACTTGTATGGTATTGCCTGTGTCAGAGGGACAATCGGGCCACTCAGAAAGCAGGGTCTGTGAGGCCCAGACGCCTAGTCCAGCCAGCCTGCCCTCCCGGCCAACCCTCGCCTCCAGGCGCAGAGCGGCGGCGGCGCAGGGGTTAACGGGGCGGGGCCGGGCACCGAGGCGCGCACGGAGCGAGGTGGCCGCTGCGTCTGCGCGCGCGGCCGGCCCGGCAGGAGCGCGGAGCCGCCGCTGCCGCCGCGCCTAGGCCATGCGGCTCCAGGGCCCGGGGCCTGGGCTGGGGCCCGCGCAGCCCCGCTCGCGCCTAGTCCGCCGAGTCCGCTGAGCCCGCGCCCGGCCAGGCGCTGCCCGGCACCATGGTGCAGAAGTCGCGCAACGGCGGGGTGTACCCCGGCCCGAGCGGGGAGAAGAAGCTCAAGGTGGGGTTCGTGGGGCTGGACCCCGGCGCGCCCGACTCCACCCGGGACGGCGCGCTGCTCATCGCCGGCTCCGAGGCCCCCAAGCGCGGCAGCATCCTGAGTAAGCCGCGCGCGGGCAGCGCTGGCGCCGGGAAGCCCCCCAAGCGCAACGCCTTCTACCGCAAGCTGCAGAATTTCCTCTACAACGTGCTGGAGCGGCCCCGCGGCTGGGCGTTCATCTACCACGCCTACGTGTGAGTGGCTGGGCGGGCGCAAAGGCCCCGCTTGGAGCAGAGAGTCGGAAATCTGCCGGGAAGGAGTCTTGGCGCCCAGGTGTGGCGGGG